GCAATCAGATAGGACAACAAGAAAAATAGGGAATCATCAGCATAAATATATAGAGTGAAGTGTATGTTATTCCTTTAAAAATAATTTTAAATTCATTATGTTTTATGCACATGCACCACAACTATCCAGCAGGTCATCTTTAAAATACGTTTGGAAGTTAATCATTGAATTCGAGAACGTATTCAAGGAAAGTGCAAGAATGCAAAGTTAGAAAACACTTTTAAAACTTCTGAATTAGGGTTTGGGACTGCTGGTACATTCAAATATATACAGGTGAATGTCTTCTTCTCTACTCTTGCATTTCCACTAAAGTAGCTTCGTCACAATGTCTCTGTATTTACTACATATTTTAAAGAAGCGATGTTTTCAGTTCTTAGGAGAAATTCCGTCAGATTTACCCCACCAGAAGGATTATAAGCTGAATCAGAGCACGTGGATGGAGAAAGCAGGGCAAGGCTGGCCTCCACCTCTTCAAGTCTGTGGACATGCACTGCTTTATCAGCCACAAGTTGTGTTTTCCAAATCTGTCCTCTGTGACTTTGTGGTTTACCCTGGGTTCTCTTTTTGCTCCTTTCAACCCACCACCCACCCCTCCAAATTGTTCAGCTGTTAAAAAGTTCCAAAGCAAGCAGATGTGTTCCTGGAATCCTACTCTTAACATTGCCAGAGAGCGTATACTAAGGGTGCCTCTCTAGCCAAAATAATAAAAGATCTTTTAAGTGGCTGAAATTCTTGGCTGATTGCATATACATGCCAATGTCAGACAACTATAAACAGAGAGATTTGGAAGAAAAATAGAGTCTTTACAACTCCAATGAAATAAAATGGAATGTTTTTGAAGGCGGTCAGAAAACAGTACATGTATTTATAAGATTAAGATGTGTCTCCCTTTAATCCAAAATCCCCTTTAAGCAGGAAGAGTGCACACAAATCATGCATGTCCAGCATAAGGGAATAAAAGGACTTTCTTTTTTTTATTAATATATCTTTATCATTCCCAATCCTATAATTAAAATTTCTTCTTTATATTGTCTTTTTGAGTTTAGATATCTGCTGGATCCTTTGATATTTTCCTCCTATCACCGCTTTGTTTCCCCAGAATACTAAAAAATCCTTCAAAGGATAAAATTATGCCCATGGTTGCTGGTATAAATGAAGTCAGGAGGGAATTGTATTGGTGTTACCTAGGGCGGACTCGGCCCCCCAGTAAACTGGCTCACTTGTTACAGCTGTTCAAAGAGACTTGAGGATTCACTTCTCAAGAAATTCTGGCTCTTTTAGGTAGGTTAATGCACCAACTAGCTTTAATAGCTGAGTCAATACGTAGTTTTTAAAGATATTGCTACTTAATTTGGAACGGTGACTTACTTTTTAGTAACCTACCTATCTTACATCAACCCATCAAAACTGAATTCAAATCAGTTCTTGCAAATTAGTTCACTTTATTTTGAACCTATTACTGTTGTACAAGAGAATTTACCAATTGCTCTAGTTTCGTAATTGCGCTTGTAGACAAGCAAATGAGTTAGCAGTGATGGAGAAAGCCGGCACTGGCTTAATAATATTTAAATGCAGTTCTCCTGAACCTAAACCACACTCCAAAGTGAGAGATGTTGAAACGTCAATGGCTGCAAAGTCACAAGTCCATTTGGAGGAAGAATCAATAATATAATTAATGTCTCTGAATTCTTAGTTTTCTCTAAATTTCACTGGGTTCTAGTGGGCTAGAGGTTATGGCTTGGCTCTAAGGATTCAGTACATAACACTGGGGTGCCAGGAAGTAGTATTTGTATAATATTTTTAGTGATATTTTATTACTTAGTGTTTTCTGAGATAAATCCTTTAAGGCAACAAAAAAAATAAGACTTACGGGAACTTAAAAATAGCATGGTTCTGAACAAGTTATGTTTCTTTTTTTTTTTTTTAAAGATTTTATTTATTTATTTGAGACAGAGAGAATGAGAGAGAGAGAGAGAGAGCGCATGAGAGGGGGGAGGGTCAGAGGGAGAAGCAGGCTCCCTGCCGAGCAGGGAGCCCGATGCGGGACTCGATCCAGGGACTCCAGGATCATGACCTGAGCCGAAGGCAGTCACTTAACCAACTGAGCCACTCAGGCGCCCCACAAGTTATGTTTCTAATTTGAAAATCTTACCTCAAACTCAGCTTTTAATATTTTTCCTAAAATGCTTTAGAAGTAATCTAATGGTAGAACCCAGTTTATTAGATGCTTTTGAATTAATTCTAGTTTTTTTTAAAAGCATATGTAATGTTACAGATTAAAAGAAAGACATTAACTACAATTCTACCAGCTCATTAAAAAGATTTTACATGAAAAAAAAAAAGACTTTACATGAAAATGTTAAGATTTCCTTCAACCTACTTTGGTTTTGGTAGAAAAATTATAAATCCTATGTTCATAGAAAATGCAAATAATAAGGGCACCTGGGTGGCTCAGTTGTTAAGCGTCTGCCTTCGGCTCAGGTCATGATCCCAGGGTCCTGGGATTGAGCCCAGTATCAGGCTCCCTGCTCGGTGGGAAGCCTGCTTCTCCCTCTCCCACTCCCCCTGCTTGTGCTCCCTCTCCCGCTGTGTCTCTGACAAATAAATAAATAAAATCTTTTTAAAAATGCAAATAATAAATATCCCCAACATTATATCTTAAAGAGAAAACTCTGTTCTCATTTTGCAAAAAATCATATTCTGAAGAATTCTTATTTGCCCTCAAAAGTAAAAGCGTATTTACTGACTACCCAGCATCTTTTAAGAAAAATTTGGAGATTGCACACAATGCACATAGTTTTTAAAATTTCTAAAACCCAGTTTTTAAAATTTCTAAAACCCAATACCAGAGGATTGCATGTCCTGATTTTCATCAATGAAATGAACTACTCACTCTTGTTGTAACATGATCAACACCTCTCAGAGCAAAGTAGGCATCAGGTGTTAGGTGGTCAGAATGAAGTGAAGTAATGCAAAGCTTGAATACTCTTTCAATTTTCTTTTCTTTTCTTTTTTTTTTTTTTAAGATTTTTATTTATTTGCGCGAGAGAGAATGAGAGACAGAGAGCATGAGAGGGAGGAGGGTCAGAGGGAGAAGCAGACTCCCCGCCAAGCAGGGAGCCCGATGCGGGACTCGATCCTGGGACTCCAGGATCATGACCTGAGCCGAAGGCAGTCGCTTAACCAACTGAGCCACCCAGGCGCCCTCAATTTTCTTTTCTTTTAGGACATGAGATAACCTCGTTTCCCTGGGGTAGAGTACAGTACGTGGGTAGAAGCACCTTCTCCACGAGGCATCCCACTTGTCACTGTGGAATGGTTGAAGGAGACGGGCCATTCATTCATCTGGGCACGTGCGTGAGAGCTTGTGGCGCCGGGTGGTGCTGAATACAAGCTACAAAAGCGAACGGCTACAGCGGGTCAGCCGTCTAAGAAGTGGGGTCACGGCCACAAGAGGACAGCGGACGAAATATCATTCAGCATTGTCTACATACACCCATCTCCCATTTTTTGTAGACTCTTCTAATTGGATAAGGATTGCCATTTATCTTCCTGGGCAATTTGGAGGTCATTCTAGCTCTGCCCCTCCGAAGGAAGGAAATGACTATTCTCCACAAATGCTCTGTGTAGATTTGCCAGATATTCCTGTGACTGCAAAGATGGGTTAGAAATTCAATTGCTTTATAAAGAATTGTTTCATAAGATGGTTACCTGGTTGGACAAAACTTTTTGAGCAACTATGAGAGAATGTGTTTGATCATTTAATTAAGGTAGGAACTGTGTACTGTATACAGTGCCTGGTGTATGAAAGCACTTAATTAAAATGTTAGACCACTGATCAGTCGAGGGAGGGGAGGGGAGGGGTACAAGAGCGGAGGAACACACACAGAATGTTCCCAGCAGAGGGCATGCCTCCCAGAGGAGACTCTAGATACTGAGAGCTGATTCTTCAAATGGCAAAACGCAAAGCCTTGTGTTAGACAAAAATAATTATCCCAGTGCTCTTCTAAGGATGAACTTAATCAAAATAAACTGCCAAATCTTCCAAATAAACCACCGCAGGGTATGTACTCATTCCATGAGTTCCTCACAATAAGCTGTCCACTGGATCTACTGACAATATTTTTATTATAAAAAGGTTTTTTCTTATTTTTTATTTTTATAATTGATGGCATCTAAAATTAAACATGTCATAACAGTAAAAACTGAGGCAATAACACTAAATTCCCCACAGACAAAACTCTGTTATGACAAATTAAATTTTTTTTAAATCAAAGCAGTTCCAGTTACCTTTTTCCCAGCATCATGCTGGTAATATGATCTCCACAACTAATGAGAGTGACTCAATCACTCTGCTTTCCAACTTTCAATGATTTATTAACAGGTTGGCTTGCAATAAAAGACCTCTGAATAACTTGAGAAACCCAGATCTTCAGATTTCATCAAATTTCGAAACCAATAAATGAAACTATTTCAATGAGATCAGATGAGAGAACAGAAATTAAATAAATAGATCACATACATTTCAAGTGATACATGTACTTAGCTTTCCAACAAGACTTAGTGGAACAACAGATAAACTGAAAAAATCTGAAAGATCAATTTTATCTAGCTCCGAGTTTGTCACTTGCATTATTTAGATCAGAATCAGTCATTACATTGTACTTAGATGCTATTTTGCTGTTGCAAAAATATTTCTTGGAATTTAGTTATGAGAAGATTAAGCACAATGAATTTTAGGAATTAGGATTCTGAAGCAACGCCACGTTGCTGTAGGAACCCAAACTCATATATAACAGCATCAGTTTAGGCTGATCACGGTGGCTGGCACGCAGTTAGGGCTTAACGACTATTTAATGGTTAAATGAATGGATGGATGGATACTTGGATAGGCAAATGAAAAATGTCAAGACAAACTTATCTGGAGAGTTTTAAGAACTGAGAGAGAGATTGAGAGAGAAGAGAAAGAGAGAGCAAGGACAAACTGTATAAAGACTTACTTATTCCATGCTTGCCTAAGGTTTTTAGAGCTGTACAGGGTAAAGCGTTCTGAAATAAAAGAGAAAATTGATAAACAATCTTTGTTTCAAATGTATACATTACAAGTATGTTTAAAAAAAAAACAACCCTCAACTTTTAAAAAGGTAGTGTTTGACTTAGCCATAGTTATGCCAGTTATGGGAAGTCTTCACCTTCAGATCGGGCAGTTACAAAGAATAAATAGGAAGATCTTAACATTTTAAATAATGAAGCCTTGTTTTCTTTTGTTACGGTGATTTATTTCATAATCCGGTTTCCCAGTAATTATTTCTTAGAATAACTAAGTTTTAATTGGGTCGAAAAAAGAAACACAAATTCCAAGCCTCCAAATTGTAAGTATGTTGAAGAACGTTGACACATCAGTGAAGTGAGAGTTGTTGCTTCCACTAAGTCCAATACAGTAATGCTGGTTCTCCTTTCTTACACTAGTTGGTATTTACATTTTCTTTCTTACATCTATTTGGTTTGGCTCAAAGCCAAACTACCAAAGTCCTATAATGTATATTTACATTTTTCACTGAATCATCATTATTATATTTTAAAAATTAAGATGTTTATTTTACCAAGTTAAACAATAAAGCAGCACAGAGCAGATATTAATAATCTCCTCTCCTGCTCCCTATTTTTGACTCCTGAAGATACAGCAATTGTTAATGGCTTGGGTATGTCTCTTTCCACATATTTCTTTATGTTTATAAATGCAAACCCATTCATATATACACATACAGATACTGTTTTAATTTTTAAAAATGGATTGTACCATGAACAGTCTCTGAAATTTTTTTAATATATAGCAGATAGTCCTTCAAAGCAAGAAAACAGATGTAACAATTGTTTTAAAGCTGTATAATATTCCATAGAAGTATCATAGGTATTTGACTATTCTCCTACTGGTGACAACGGAGGTAGTTTCCACTTCTTTCCCCTTAAAAACAGTGCTTCAATACATATCCTCACACATCTATCTCTGTATACTAATGCTTTCATTTCTATTGGATAGATTTCTCCATATAGAATTGCTTGGTAAATGGTATGCACATTTTACATTTTAATAGATGCTGTCAGATTACTTTTCATTTTCCAGCAATGAAAAATAATGTCTTTTTATATTATACATCCCTGGAATGCAAGGACAGTTTAACATATGCAAATTAATAAATGTAACACGCCACATTAATAGAATAAAAAACAAAAGTCACATGATTATCTCAATAGATGCAGAAAAAGCATTTGACAAAATTCAACATCATTTGTAATAAAAACCCTTAACAAACTGGGTATAGAAGGAATGTACCCAACACAGGAAAGGGTATATATGACAAACCCACAGCTGATACCATACTCAATTATGAAAGGCAGAAGGCTTTTCCTCTAATGTCAGGAACAAGACAAGGATGCCCACTCTCAGCATTCCTATTCAACATGCTACTAAAAGTCTGAGCCTGAGCAATCAGGGAAAAAAAAAAAAAAGAAGAAGAAAGAAAGAAAAAGAAATAAAAGGCATCTGAATTTGAAAGGAAGAGGTAAAACTGTCTCTCTTTGCAGATGACATGATTTTATATACAGAGTATCTTAAAGACTCCACCAAAATACTGTTAGCGCTAATAAATTCAGTCCAGCTGCAGAATACAAAATCAATATACATAAGTCAGTTGTGTTTCTGTATGTTAACATTGAATTATGTGAAAAACAAACAAAGGAAAAATTCCATTTATAAAGCATCAGAAATAATGAAATGCCTAAGAATAAATTTAACCAAGGAGATAAAAGATCTGTACGCTGAAAATTATTAAGACACTGATGAAAGAAATTGAAGACACAAATAAATGGAAAAGAATCCTGTGTTCGTGGATTGGAAGAATTAATATGGTAAAATGTTCATACTACCCAACATCATCTATAGATCTAATACAATCCCTGTTGAGATTTCAATGGCAATTTCTGTATTTATAGAAGAACAAAACAATCCTAAAATGTGTATGGAACCACAAAAGACCCTGAATAGCCAAAGTAATCTTGAGAAAGAAGAGCAAAGCTACAGGCATTACACTTCCTGATTTCAAACTATCTTACAAAGCTATAGCAACCAGAACAGTATGGTACTAGCATAAAAACAAACACATAGACTAATAGAACATAATGGAAAGCCCAGAATTAAACTCAAGCATGCATGATCAACTAATGTTTGATAAGGGAGCCAAAATACTCAATGGAGGAAAGATAATCTCTTCGATAAATGGTACTGGGAAAACTGAATATTCACATGCAAAAGAATGAAACTGGAACCCTATTTTAAACCATGCACAAAAATTAACTCAAAACAGATAAAGACTTAAATGTAAGACCTGAAAGCACAGACAAAAACAGAGGGAAAAAGCTTTTGACACTGGTCTTGGCAATGATTTTATGGATACAACATGCAAAGCACAAGCAATAAAAACAACAAATAAACAAGTGAGACCACAACAAACTAAAAGCTTCTGCACAGCAAAAGAAACCATCAACAAAATGAAAAGGCAACCCATGGAATGGGAGAAAAATATTTGCAAACCACAGAACTGATAAGAGGTTAATATCCAAAATACATAAAGAACGCCTATAACTTAGTAGCAAAAAATCACATAATCTAACTGAGAAGTGGTCACAGGACCTGAATAGACATTCTCCCAAGGAAGATTTGCAACTGGCCAACAAGTACATGAAAAGGTGCTCAACGTCACTAATTGTCAGGGGAAGGCAGATCAAAACCACAGTGAGATGTCACCTCACACCTGTCAGAATGGCTGGCATTGAAAAGACGAGCTAACAAATGCTGGCAAGAATGTGGAGAAAGGGGGGTGTTTATACACTGTTGGCGGGAATGTAAACTGGTACAGCCACCACAAAAGACAGTAGGAAGGTTCCTCAAAACATTAAAAATACAACTACCATATGATCCAGCAATTCCATATCAGGGTATTTAATTTCTGAAGGAAATTAAACCACTAACTTGAAGAGATTTCTGCACCCTTATGTTCACCGCAACATTACTTACAAGATGTGGGAGCAACCGAAGTGTCTACTGATGGATGAAAAAAATGTAGTGTATACATGCAAAGGATAGTATTCAGCCGTAAAAAATAAGGAAATCCTGATATTTGCAACAACATGGAGGGAACTTGAGGGCATTATGCTAAGTGAAATAAGTCAAAGAAAGATAAATACTGTATGATCTCACTTAAATATACAATCTAAAAAACGCTGAACTCATAAAAGCAGAGAATAGATTGGTGGTTGCCAGAGGCAGAGGGTGGGGAGGTAGAGAAATGGATGAAAAGCAATCCAAGGATATAAATTTCCAGTTATAAAATGGATAAATTCTGGAGATGTAATGTAAAGCATAGAGATTTTAGTTAACAATATTGCACTGTGTATCTGAAAGTTGCTAATAAGAGAGTAGATCTTAAAAGTTCTCACCACGGACACACAAAAATTATAACTATGTGATGTGATGGATCTGTTAACTAAACTTACTGTGGTATAAACAGAGACATATATTAAATCACTATGTTGTACCCCTTAAACTTATACAATGTTATATGTCAATTCTATCCCAATAAAGGTGGGCAAAAAAGAGTGTTCTAGAAAAGTAAAACAAGGAGATATAATGTAGACTGACCAGTATGAGAGAGACACTTTAGATTAAGTGATGAGGGAAGGTGAGTTTCCAACAAAACAGTCAATCAATAAAATAAAGTTCCCATTGGAAATCTGGTTGGAGTTTCATTAAAATATCTACCTATCTGAAAAGAATGACAGAAAATCTTTGTACATAACAATATGGTGTGTCTTCCATTCAGAAAGGATTTGTGTGTATGTCCTCCAATAAAATTAAATGGCATCTTTTTCATATTGATCTTGATTCTTTTTAAAAATTTAATACTTAAAGGCTTAATTTTGCTTAATATTGGTTGGTGTCTTTTTTCAATGTTGTCTGCTTTTAATGACAAGCTTTTAAAGGAGAGAATCTAAATGATTGATACTGCTTTTGTTACGGTATATTTCCTGTGGAAGAATACCATTAGATAAGAACAAAAAGAAATTTAAGAACCTGCTCAACTTCCTATTTCTAAACACAGTTTATCCAAATAGAATGGAAATACTGTGCAATGATTCATTGGTTCAACTACTATTTATTGAGCAACTACTGTGTGCCAAGTGTCCTTCTCAGGGGCTGAGGCTATAGAAGGGAATCACACAAAAACCCTTCATGCAAGGAGAGAGCTCACATTCTCATGGGGATGTGCAAGGCTGGAGTGAGCCTGAAGGACAAGGTGGCTGGAGTAGACAGACAGCCCAGGAGAGAGAAGTGGAGGCTGAGACAGAGCAGGGGCACAAGGGCAGAAGACCAGCTCACACGGAGCCCCTATATCCTGTAACACACCATCCAGACATTTTTTAAGGACCACTCTGCCCTCTGTTTCGAGAATACACTCTTGGAAGCAAGGACGGAAGCAGGGAGACCAAGAAAAGTTTTTTACAACTGTACGGGAGGGAGATGATATACTTTGGGCTCTAAAAACAGTGTCTGTAGTGAAAAGGGGTCAGACAGTCTGCAGCTTGCTAAAAGGCAGAGCAACAGATTTATTGATGGATTGGATATAGGGTATGACAGAAAGGTAGGCATTAAGATGACAAACAGAGGATTTACTGATCTCTAATTTCCAAGTTCCAAAGATTGAGAATTTCATATTCAACTCAACTGTTACCCCCAAGAATACATGAATCTTTCCAGGATGATGCAGAAAGTACTGAAGATTTTCATGGAGTTTCAGAGTCATCATTCAAGCTGGGATAATTGTTAAAATATTTAAGAACCTGCCGGGCATGGGCTCTGACCAATCAGTGCAGAAACTAGTCATTATGCTCTAATGACATGGTCCGCCAAAGATCAGGCCTGGTTCCAAACAGCCACTGTTCTAAACCTACAGGTCAAAGTGCTCATCAACAATTAGGAATTAAAAGTCTCA